TCAAAATATTATTTCAGACTCCAAACTTACTACAATCTCACAAAGGATTTTCCAGTCATTTGAATATATAAATCTTTAAAACGGCATTCAAAAAACAAACCAAACATAATGATACTGGATAAAATAATGAATTATTCTGAATAACTATACTGATTATAAGCTATATGCTTAATGAAATCTTGATAACTCACCATTGCAGGCTTTAAAGCAACTGAATTCAACGCCTTGTTCACATCTTTTGGGTTGATCGACAACTTAAGGCTAATATGACCCTCTTTGGCAGAGTCTAAAGACGACACGACACATCTGATCAGCATTCCAAGTGTGAAGAGTTTGGAAAGAGGGACAACTTCCTGTTGACATTGAAGAAACACAAACAAAGTGTATTACATCATCTATCATGACAATGTTCAGCTGCACATTTAAGATTGCGCACTACTCGAGTAGATAATACACTGGAATCTACTACAATTCATGTTCTATATAGCAGTGTTTCCCAACTCTGTTCCTGGAGACACGCCATCAGTACATATTTTGGATGTCTCCCTTATATGACCCATTAACTTCAGGGTTTGGAGTCTCTTCTAATGCTCCATTGAGTTGATTTGGGTGTGTTTGACTAGGAAGAGGATGAAAATATGAACTGTTGGTGTGCCTTCAGGAACAGGATTGGGAAACACTGCTACTTATGTGTATTAATGTGTTAGTCCCAAAGAAATGTGGATGTACTACATACGCTATTGGTATTCATTACATGAATTTCCTTACATCGATCTAGTTTCTTCCCTCCCATTCATGAATCCTCTCACACTGCATCATGGGATAGCGTAGTATGCATTAAAGGGGACCTATTACGCCCCTTTTTACAAGATGTAAATTAAGCCTCTGGCATCCCTAGAGTGTGTATGTGGGGTTTAATCCCAAAATACCAAGCAAATAATAATTTGAAGTGTGAACACAGCTGCATTGTTTCTTTCTGTGTGCATTTCAGATACCTCTAGGCCATCATCAGTGTCCAGTTTGTCATTGAGAATGTTGGTGTAGGCGTCACAGATGTTGCAGATCGGCAGGTAACCAACGAGGCCGCTCGGGAGACCAACTACAACCTCGAAATCTGACACTTCCTTCACACAACCCAGCATCAGAGTGCCAACCGTCAGGTCCTTAAGAGAGAGAATGGAAAAAGAGAAAATGATCAGACACAAGATTAACTGACTAACATATAGTTTAAGACAAAATTATTCGCCCTCCTGTCAAATATTTAGTGCTACTTATTTTATTTATCTTATTTCTTTTAGTTTGGCTGAAATAAAAGCAGTTTTACAATTTTTTTTTTTCCAAGTATTTTATGGTCAATATTATTAGCCCCCTTAAGAAACCATTGTTTTCTATTCGCTACTGAACAATCCACTGTAATCCAATTACTTGTCTAATACTTTGTTTACCTAGATTCATACTTTAAAAGGTTTTTTGCAACATTAAAAAAGACATCTGCAATAAAAATGATGATGATTTATCTTTGATCCATAAATGTTTAAAAGCACTGACGGTATATTATTAACATATAATATATTAATTTAAAATCATTAAAGATGTCATTTCTAATCTCTCTCTGTCTTCATACTAATGTATAACATTCATTCATTTTCTTTTCGGCTTAGTCCTTTCATAATCAGGGGTTGCCACAGCAGAATGAACCACTGAATTATCCATTTAACTCTTAAAAAGTTTAAATAAAAATAAAATCACATGAAATCTAAACCTAAACTCTAAAGTTACCCTAAGATGCAGAATTTGGACAGTGGTGGTCGTGTTGAGTTTGATATTCTCTTCATCCACTTTCTGTTTTTTAGATTTTGGCGCTTCATCCTGCTTCACAGCCTTCTTCTTCTTCTTAACCGCTTTTGCAGGTGTCTGAAAAATATTTATCACAAAGAAATACATTACACTCAAAAAAGCTGTGCAAGGATTTATATTGCATACCCACTGATCAGTATTAAAACAATAGTTCACCCAAAACTGAAAATTCAGTCATCTCTTACTCACCCTTCACTTGTTCCAAACCAGTTTGAGTGTCTTTCCTGTGTTGAACAGAAAAGAAGATATTTGGAAGAATGCTGAAATCCTGTAACCATTGACTTGCATAGTATTTGTTTTTCTACTACAGAAGTTGATGGTTACAGGTTTTCAGCTTTCTTCAAAATATCTTCCTTTGTGTTCAAGAGAAGAAAGAAACTCATAAAGGCTTGGATCCACATGAGGGCGAGTAAAATCACAAATATTTTGGGTTGAACTATTTCTTTAACGTTTTCAAACTGTTTTACTCACTAACAATTCACCTTCTTCAACTTACATCAAAAAGATTGTCCACTTCATGTGGGATTAGGTCGGTGGGTTTTTTCCTCTCAGTACCTCCGCGGGGAAAATCTTCTTCCATCGATGCCATTTTTCACAATTTGCCTAAAGAGAAAAACAATAATAAGTTATTGAGGTAAAGTTGGTTTAAAGTATGGCTTCACAGTTTTTTTGACTGTAAACAATGTTGTACTTTGATCGTCATACCCCGTTTAGAATTGGCAAACGATTCTGAAATTATATTATTAAAGAGAAAGAGAGAATGTGCGAATATAAAACTAACTTTACCACAATTATTATTATTTTGTATTATAATAAAATAATACATTTTATATAATATTATTATAAATATGAGCGAGTTTGAGCCACGTGAATACTGAGGTATCATTCAAAACAAAACACCAGTGAAAAAACTCGACACAGAGGAACATTAAAACCTACTGCCAGCTAGTGTTTCTGAAGTGTATTGCAGAGCAACGTAAACAGCATACAGAAGTATAAATGCACGACTACACGCAAGGCATGCAGCGTGGGTCAGGGTGATCGCTCCACGCAGAGGTATAAACCAGGCTTTACAAGCAACGCGAGTTATATAATAATATTACTTTTAGAAGTAATGCGTAAAGTCATGCATTACTTTTAAAAATGAAGTTATAATATTTTAATTACTTTTTTGAAAATGTAACGCAAGCTACTTTTTAGTTTAGTTGATTCACTTATAAAAATAAATTGATGAATTAAAATTTAAAGCAGTCAAAATGAATCACGTGGTCAATGAGAGAATGTGTTTATTACTTTGAATGCATCGAATAAAAGGAGATTATAGTCTCAATGGACAGTGATTTTACTTAAGACAAATAGTACAAACATAGCGAACACAGTACTTTAGAATTTCAATAATCTGTATATACGCACTGTGTAGCTCTGGGGTCAGGAAGTTCTCAAATAACATCATCCTAAAATAATATTTTATTTATGTGATTTTTAAAGGTATAACGTACACCGTTAATTACAGAGCTCCTCTATTTAGGAAAACAATTTCTGAAAGAGATCCAGCCTCAGTCAGGTAATAAAAAGTAATGCAAAAGTAGCTCAAAAGTAACGTAATGCATTACTATAAAAAGTAACCAAGTAACGCAACTACCTAGTTTTTTGGGCCAAAGCTCTATATTGTAATGCACTACTTTTTAAAGTTACTTTCCACTGCCAATGAATACATAAACACAGCAATATTTTTGATTTTACGCTCAATGACATCAAAGTAATGTCTGTATTTTCCACTTTAAGCAGCAACCACTCTCGCTAGCAGCATTTCAGCTCGTGTTCTCCAGCAACTTAAAAGTGCCTGCTCATTGACTGAGGTTGCAGCGGAAAACGCAATTTAAAGAAGCATTTTTTCCTTTTAAAAACTATATTTGTAACACAAATACATTGAATTTAGTAACTGCAATCAAATTACACACATGTAAAATGTCATTCATTACATTACTGTGTTCCCCAAAAATGTAATTAGAATACAGTAATGTAAGTAGAACAGAATACAGTAATGCAACTCAACTCTGGTTCTCAGATAACATTATCCTAAAATTTGTGTTTTGATGTGTTTTATTTAAAGGTAAATGTAGGTGTAGGTTATACAGTGCATAGCTAATTGCAGAGCTCGTCTATTTAAAAAAAGAAAGAAAAAAAGTTCTGAAAGAGATCAAGCCTTAGCCAAAAGTAACTTAAAAGTAACGTAATGCATTAAAAGTAACGCAACTAGTTACTTTGTAGGGGAGTACTTCAATATTGTAATGCACTACTTTCTAAAGTAACTCCCCCCAACACTGCCAAAAAAATATATATTGTAAATATTATAATTAAAATACAGTAATGCGCATAACACTCAACCCTGGTTCTCAGATAACATTATCCTAAAATATTTGTTTTGATGTGTTTTTAAAGGTAAATGTGTAGGTTACATAGTTCATTGTTAATTGTAGAGTTCCTCTATTAAAAAGAGGTTGTAAAAATAACGCAAAAGTAACGTAATGGATTACTTGGCATATAAAGTGACTAAGTTCGTTACTTTTTAGTAGAGTAACTCAATATTGTAATGCACTACTTCATAAAGTAATTTCCCCAACACTGCCAATAAATATATAAACACAGACACGTTAGCAGACATAAACAGGAATGCTTGAATCAACAAACAAGAGCATATATAACCATATAAAACATTAATAACTATCTAAATCAATATGTTTGGCTTCATTATTTAAACTGACCAAGAACAAACACAACTGCAGACACATGAGAAGCACAACATGAATGTATACTAACGTACACCACAACGTTTTATCGACACTATCATTTACATACGCATAATTAAGCCCTCTAATTAACAGTAACTAAGAGATTTTACTTACGTTAGTAAAACTTGGTGTAGAAACATGTACCTCTCGTGCAAGTAAATCTCACATGTTCCTCACAAGCGTGCCATCTTCTCGACCCGGATGTAAACACCGAGAGGCGGGATTTAAACGTTACACCGAAAGAGAAAGCATCAGCCAATAGGATGACAGGGTATTTAGATTGACGTCTCTGTAAGCCAATCGACTTAGTGGTAGAATCGATTGATATGCGTGTAAACCAATGGCTACAGTACATTCGGGTTATCACCACGTAGGTGGGACTTCCTTAAATCATTCACTTTCCGGCTTCACCATTGAAGGGCACCAGTTTGCTTGGTAAGTCGCGGTTTATATTTTAGCAGAATGATTTTTAATTTAGAGTGTTTAATAATAATTTTCGACGCGTTGGTGTTTTTACATGTGTGTGGAATTAATATATGCTATAATGGAAAGCTACGTTTATCTTAACCACGCATTTTTTTCGTCACGGGTTGAGGTGCTTTCAAAATACATTGAATATTAAACATTAACCGAGCATTTAAGTGTTATAAAATGCATATTACATATCTTGTTAACCCTACATTTCATTGCAGCAGCCTGCCTTTATTTCAAAACCAAGGTTGTCCTTTACGCATTTCGCGTGACCTTACGTACGAATGAAAAATCAGGCGTATGTTTAACCGCGTTCATGCGTGTATGTGAATTACTTTACCGCCCAATGTCGCTAGTTAAAACAGTCAACGCGTTTTTTTCCAATACATCCTCTAATTTCTACATTATTAGCCTTTACCAAATGTCGGTTTATGGTAAAAGTGCTGGAATTAATACATATACTGTGAAAAATCTGAAGATATGAAGTGTGAGGCCAATTTATTTAAATTTTAAAACCATAATCAAAATAAAACATCTCTGAAAATCTAATTCATCATGATTTTTTTGAGGAATGTCATCAAATATTTCTAATTCTCCTTTATTAACAGATTGCATACAGAAATCATGGGTGGACACGACGCTGGAAGTCAACACCAGTTCACTGGCATTGCCAAGTACTTCAACTCATACACAATCACTGGCAGGAGGAATGTAAGTCGACATTAATTGTAGTATAAATTAGGGCTGCACAATATATGGTTTCAACATCGATATCGCAATGTGATCCTTCGCAATAGTTACATTGCAGAATATGCAGTGTTGAGTTTGTATTATACTTAATCATTTGCATGCGTTTTTGATGCCTCTGATTGTATAATGACCTTAAAAGCATTCATAAGAATGCATAAGAAATTGTAGCATTTGTGACTAACAACTATTCCTTTGACTGATTTTTATTTTATCTTTCGGTTGCTGTACTTGAATACTGTTAGACTTCGGAAATGACAAAACACTTTGATTGTATTTATAGATTGAAAAACTCGCAACACATGCAAATACAGAAATGCACCGCAAATAGCACAGACCACATCGAAAAACGTGTTGGGGCATCCCAAAAAATTGACAAACTGTTTATTAGATTATATGGAGATGCACTCCCACTTCAGAATCCTCCCAATCCATCTAACATCAGACATTCTTTCCAAATAGAGATATTAAGTCAGGGGTTTCTGCAGGAAGCACCCAGTTAAATTTAAGTCTTTTTAAGACATTTTTAGGACCATAAAGAATGAAAATTTACACTTAGTTAATGGCTAAAGGCTGAGGAATTTTCCAAATGGTCCAGATGGAAAATATTTTTATTTGTCCTATCAAAAAATTATTATTATAATTTAATATGTTTAATAATACAATAATAAATAATCAAATCACCGTCATATTAACTATCAAAACATGTTCATGGCTGCATAAATGTATTATTGCTTTTAAAAAGTCACATGTTGTGCATGTCTAGTATCATACACAAATTGTAATAAAGCGATCTAAAAAGTTCATATCAATAAGTTTTCTCTTTGCACCATCAAGTGGCAGTCTTTGTACTTTCATTTCAGAGTGCAGATTGCATACGTTTTATTAACACACACATATATATATATATATATATATATATATATATATATATATATATTTTTTTTTTTTTTTTTTAATTTTTTTATTTTTTTTTTTTTTTTACGTGTGTATATTTAAATATTTTCTATTTTCCCAAGTGTATATAACTACTACTGTAAGAAAATATCGGAATCCGATCAAATCCTGTTCATATGAATTGAACCTGCTCCCGACCAGGTTTGATCTACCAGAACTGTTGCTATGACAACAACTCTCGGATCAGTTTTGAAGAATGAAACGATCCTGGATCATGTCAAATCGTCAATAACCAAATCCAGCTAACTGAGTAATCCATGTACGAAGATCGAGTCGTCAGCAGTAAATACATGAAGAACTTTTAAACAAATGTTAAGGAAAATAATTAAACTGTTCTGATAAATAGAGTTTAAAATTACCTTTAAAAAAAAAAACGTTTAGCGTTTTATCGAGATGAATTGTTGGTGATTACATGGCTGTTGGACAGATTGGGTAGCAATACATGAACAAAGAAAAAATTAAGACTTGTTTTAAAAATTAAAAAATGTAAGACTTTTTAAGGCAAAAGATTTTGAGATTTAAGACCCCGCGGACACACTGTTCCAATATCGTGCAGCCCTAAATAAAATTAATGATCAGTTACACTTAAATGCAATTCGTATGTACGTTACTTAGAAACGGTATTTCTCTATTTTGTGTCCAGTGTGTGTTGGCCACATACGCCAGCATTGCAGCCATCATCCTCTTCTTCAAATTGAAGCCCAAGAAGCAAAAGGCTGTGACGTCAAGTTAACTTATTGTAAGCTTCGCCTGAATTTACCACAACAAACACTCATTTTCATATCTGAAAGCTGTGATTGAACCCTAAACTCTCTCCTTCTTTCTTTTCAGGATGTTTTTTTGATTGCAGCATGAAAATTGGTGCGGGATTTGTTGAATTTACTTCTATGTAAGGAATAAACTGAAAAATCTAAACCACAGCTGTAGAAAACCTGTTTTATTTACACATTTAGGCAGTAGTATAAAAGCTTGTATAGACCAGCACTCAGATGCATCATGTTTTAAAGAGCAATGACCAGTTTAGGAATTACAAAAATTGTTCATGGTTATATGTACAAAAGCAGAACACGTGTCATTTTCAAACACATGATGCATATGAGCCTTAAAAATGAGCAAATATGGCAGTAATGTTATCGAAGCAAAACAAAATTAGCCAGTGAGCACAAAAAAAATAGGTCTCAGCATAATGCTCAGTGCTCGACTATTTCTTTCGCTTCGCTTATTTCACATGTTAGGATGACCTGGATTGAATCTTTAAATATTATGCACCATTATTGATAGATCATCACAGCTACATGGGGGTCAGTGTTTGCGGTTTTGGTCACTGGGAGTTGTAGGAGCCTGCGGCCAGGAGCAGGTTGCGTCTGGTGAAGTGCAGGTGTATGACGGCTGTGGATTTGCTATGGTACGTCCCCAGCAGCAGCTCCTGAGAATTGTCCGGCAGGTGAATGTGGCCCGTTGCTGCAGTGAAGTCGTCTGTTTCTACGTCATCGATGGCTCTCATGACGTCCCACAGTCGGACGGTGTTGTCTATAGAGCCTGGAGCAAAACACGGGATTTTCTTTCATTACAATAAATCACATGGTGTGACATGACAAATGTAAACAGTTTAAAGTGTAGACAAAAAGAAAATAATTGCAAGTATTTAAATTTTTTAAAAATGTTTTCGGGTTGTCATGGATAGATGACAACAAAACCGCCAGTAGGTGGCGACAAGTTCATATTGTTGCTTCACTGAATCACTTGTTCAAATGATTTGTCCAAAATGCCTGATTTGTTTGGAAAAAAAGCAAACGACTGTAAAATATATGAATCCAATCAAACTAGGTCAAGAAAAAAACTAAATAAGTGAGATTAAAGACTAGCTGCTTAAATATATAAATGCCAGAATTATATAATTATCTTTATCAGTCCTTTAAGCTGATAAAAATTTCTCTCTGTAAAAAAAACAAACACACACACTATATATATATATATATATATATATATATATATATATATATATATATATATATATATATATAGTTATTTGATATAAACTAGACTAAAATATATATATATAAACACACACAGTTGAAGTCAGAATTATTAGCCCCTGTTTATTTTTTTCCCCAATTTCTGTTTACCAGCAGATTTTTTCAACACATTTCTAAACATAATAGTTTTAATAACTCATTTTTAATAACTGATTTATTTTATCTTTGCCATGATGACTGAAAATAATATTTGACTAGATATTTTTCAAGACACTTCTATACAGCTTAAAATGACATTTAAAGGCTTGATTAGGTTAACTAAGCAGGTTAGGGTAAATAGGCAAGTTATTGTATAAAAAATGTTTGTTCTGTAGAAGACCATTAAAAAAAATAGCTTAAAGGGGCTAATAATTTTGACCTTAATGTTTTTAAAAAATTAAAAACTGCTTTTATCATAGCTGAAATAAAACAAGACTTTCTCCAGAAGAAAAAATATTATCAAACATACTGTGAAAATTTCCTTGCTCTGTTCAACATCCTTTGGGAAATATTAAAAAAAAGAAACAAAATTTCAAAGGGGGGCTAATAATTCTGACTTCAGCTGTGTGTGTGTGTGTAATATTGCGATATCTAGTTTTCTGCGATAAATATTGCGATAAGAATACAGTTTCAGGAGATAGTTTGTATAGCATATAATGGTTTTCTGGGGAGTCCCAACAGTATTCAGGCACAGAAATTAAATAATTGCAATGCAAAAAAGGCTTCTCTTGCTTTGATTTGTCTTGTTTCTAGTCCAAAAATCTAAAAATTGTTAGAGCAAATAATTTTTGTGTTTGTGTTTGTAAGGATAATCAAGTTAACCAAGCTGCCTTAAGTTTACTTCAAAACAGTAAAGGCTTTACAGAAAAAAAATGAGAAAATGAAATCTTGAACTCAAACTCACAGGATTTTTGACAGAGCTTGGATGACTGACAGCTTGGGGGATAATTTGTGTATCAAACATGAAAACAGAGTCAGTCAGATCAAAACTAGTCCTAATGTGTTGCTAATCCTGACCTGATGCAATGATTTCTCCATCTCTGCTGAACTTGAGGGCATAAATAGTGCCGGTGTGACCCTTCAACTCTGCGATCATCAGCCCGTGTCCAATATCCCACAGCAAAACTCTCCCGTCGGTGGATCCAGAGGCCAGGAACTTCCCATTAGGGGAGAACGCCAGAGAATGGATGGGCCCCTGAAAATCAAACATCATCACTTGTCTTTTATTCGTATATGACTCTCTATATGGGCTGGTAAATGGAGTATGCGGCAGTCTGGTTAATAAATGATAAAGAATGGACAAATAAAAGAGGAGTTTATCAGTGATGGTACATTCAAATAAAGCTGAAATCAAATATTATTTAAAGAAAATGTGTAATGTAAACTGTGTCAAGGCCACAACTAATATTCAAAATAATTATGGTACACATACTAACTGATGCTAACAATACACTAATCCACACCAGAAACATACTGATCATACATGCTAGATCATACTAAATTCATGCTAACAACATGATAGTTTATACTAGAAACATGCTAGCAACATGCTAATTCATACTAGAACCATGATAATTTATTTTAGTAACAACCTAGAAACCACTCAGAACATCTTATCAACCGCCTAGCAACACCTTAGTAAACACCTAGAACACCCTAGCAACTGCCTATCAACCACTTAGGGCCTACTCACACTATGCCGGGCTTTGGCCCGGTTCGAGGCAACTGTACCTAGTGTGAGTACGGCCTCAGAACACCTTAGCAATGGCCTAGCAACACCTTAGTAATCACTCAGAACACCCTCGCGGCACCTTAGGAACCACTCAGAACACCTTAGCAATGGCCTAGCAACACCTTAGTAATCACTCAGAACACCCTAGCAGCACCTTAGCAACCACTCAGAACACCATAGCAACTGCCTAGAAACACCTTAGCAACCACTCAGAAGACCCAAGCAACACTTTAGCAACCACTCAAAACACCATAGCAACACCTTAGCAACGAACTAGAACATCCAAGCAACCACCTAGCCACTAATCAAAACACCTTAGCAACCATTTAGAGCACTCTAGCAACCGCCTAGCAACACCTTAGCTACCAACTAGCAATGCCTAAGCAACTGGCTAGCAGCACCTTAGCAACCACTCAGAACACCATAGCAACTGGCTAGCAACCACTCAGAACACCCAAGCAACACCTTTGCATTGATCAAGCAACCAATCAGAACACCCTAGTAACCGCCTAGCAATGCACTAGCAACCACTTAGAACACCCTATCAACCACCCAGCAACACCTTAGCGACCACCTAGAGCACCCTAGCAATGCCTTAGCAACCACTCTGTTGACAGCTTAGCGACCACACTGAATACCCAAGCAACGGCCTAGCAACACATTAACAACTCTCTGAAACACCCTAGCACCCTTAGCAACCACCGATCAACCACTCAGAACACCTTAGCAACTGCCTAGCAACACCTTAAAAGTCAAAACACCATAGCAATGCCCTAGCAACCAGTCAGAACATCCTAGTAATACCTTAGCAACCACTCAGAACACCCTAGCACCACCAAGCAAGAAACATGCCGATCCATACTAGAAACATGCTAACATAAATGTACTGATCTGTCTATGCCAACTGCTTCAAACTTCTTAAACTACTTCAGTTATTCAATTTTTAAAACTACTTCAGACTTTCAGACGAGGCTTTCTCAAGCGGCTATAAAGATTGTCTACGAACTTTACTTTTCTAGTTAAATACTATGACATTAGCCCTACACAGATGCAAAACACAATGTAATGTTGAGGGGAAGCAGGCAAATTGAAATAAACTCTCAGAGACGGTGGTAAAATGTAATTAATATGATTTTCTTTGCAGTGCTGTCTTCATTCCAACATTTTTGGAAGCCTTAAATACCTTGTGACCTGTGAAAATGCGAACACAGTTTCCATTCAGGACGTCCCAGAGTCGTACGGTGCGGTCGGACGAGCCCGTGGCCACATAGTTGGAGTTGGGATGGAATCGTGTGCAGGTGACGTCTGCGAGATGACCAGCAAATATCCGTAAAGGCTGGTAATGATCCGTCGCCCAGAGCCTGACAAGCAAATCATGATATCAGATGAAGACAAACGTGGGTGGATTTGATTTTTACTTTCCTACAGCTTAGTCCCTTATTTATCAGGGGTTGCCACAGCGGAATAAACCGCTAACTACTCAGGCGTATGCTTTACGCAGATGCCCTTACAGCCGCAGCCAGTACTGAGTAAAACCCATACACACACACACACTCATACTGGTGATGGGAAGTTCGGATCATTTTACCGACTCAGATCTTCATCTCGTTCATCGAGATGAATGAATCCTTTTTCGTTCATTTGGTTCAATTTGCCAAAATATTATTAAAATGCTTATGAATTGCTTCCAAACACATCTACAACTAGCCCAAAAGGTTGATCACATGACAAATAAGTCATAAATAGAATACTATAAGAAGGAGAAAATAATAATTCAATGTTTACATGCTCTTTTGTCTATGAAGGTTTTGTTGTCTCTTTGGTCAGCTCACCTCTTCATGTCTTTAAATGTCAGTGGTTCGTTCACGTTACACTGATGCTGCGTTCACACCAGACGCGGCACGCGCGTCAAGCGCGAGTGATTTACATGTTAAGTCAATGCAAACGCGCGAATAGAACTCCTGCGGCGCGATACACGCGAATGGCGCGGCGCTAATGACGCAAATTGCGCGAATGACGCGGGGCGAATTGAGCGTTTTGCGCGTTTGACGCGCTTAACGAGCGTTTCTCGCGAATCTTTTGATTTTGAAAATCTGAACTTCAGCGTACATTCGCGCGCGTTAACCAATCAGACACTTGCTCTTGTGGGGGCGTGATTGTGACGTAGAACCTG